CACGCTTTGCGCTCTACACTTGACACTCCACACCCTGCACTTCACACTCCCAACTTTCGACTCCACACTCTACACTTTACACTCCACACTTTACACTCTACACTCCCCACTTTAGACTCCACACTCAACATTACACTCCGCACTTTACACTCCACACTTTACACTCTACACTTTAGACTCCACACTCTACACTTTGCACTCCACACTTGACACTGTACACCCCCTTTTACACTCCACATTTTCCGCTCTACACTTTACACTCCGCCCTTTACACTCCACACTTTCCACTCCACACTTTCCACTCTACACTCGGTACTTGTACTCCACACTCCACACTCTACACTCCACACTCCACACTTCAGTCTCACAGTCTACACTTGACACTCTCCGCACTCACACTCTACACTCCACACTTCATACTCCACATTTTACACTCGACACTCTACACATGGATCGAAAAAACTAACCCCTGTTCGGGGTTCTCCTTGTTCAGGAGACTACGTACTGTTTGCTGAGCGCCCGACCGGCCCTTGTTCAGGGCTCTCCTTGTTCAGGAGATGCCAGGGGTCGGCGGCAGGGGGCGGCAGCCCTTAAATAATCCAGTGGATTTAGGGGCACAGTATTCTCAAACAAAACCACAACATGTAGGTTTGCCTTTTCTTACATTCCTTTTTTCAGCCAAGCGTGGTTTATATTTATATTTACTCATGGCGTTCTTGTCTCTCTCGGTTTTCTCGGTTTGGCTTTCGATTGTCCCACTCTGATTCTTATTGGGGATAAACGTGTCAGAAACCTTTCAAAGAGACATACATTGACATACATCATACATCTTGTGAAAGAACAAACACTGGAAGGATTCGAACAGGGCACCTGGGAGTAACTCGCTTCTGTTGCCACCGCTTCCTGCAGAATTTGCGCTCTCACGGTGTCAAAGCGAATGCTCGTAGTCACGATGCTACCTGGGACGCTGGTTGCTCAACGGTACCATGCTGCGCCGTTGAATCATCTCCAAGTCACATGGATAAACATCCACATAAACATCCCGGCGGAAGCGTTACCGGCGTGCGAAAATGATCAAAATTACTACGTCCTCGCAGCGAGGAGCCAGTTTTTGCATTCAAAACCGATCAAAAAAAAAGGTCCGTCTACTTTGGGAATGACAACCCTTCCATCACTTCAGCCTCAAAAAGGGCAACCGCAACTTTTTCTCACATTGAAGACCATAGAGCATAGCATCAAGTTCATGTGGAAATGCCAATGAAGATCATAGAGCGTAGCATCAGGTTCATGTGGAAATGCCAATGACGTTATTACCCCACCCCACCCCAGACTATCGGATGCGGATGTGTGGAATTGCAATTGAAGATCATAGAGCGTAGCATCAAGTTCATGTGGAATTGCAATTGAAGATCATAGAGCGTAGCATCAGGCTCATGTGGAAATGCCAATGAAGATCATAGAGCGTAGCATCAAGATCATGTGGAAATGCCAATGAAGATCATAGAGCGTAGCATCAGGTTCATGCGGAAATGCCAATGAAGATCATAGAGCGTAGCATCAAGATCATGTGGAATTGCAATTGAAGATCATAGAGCGTAGCATCAGGTTCATATGGAAATGCCAATGAAGATCATAGAGCGTAACATCAAGATCATGTGGAAATGCCGATGAAGATCATAGAGCGTAGCATCAAGATCATGTGGAATTGCAATTGAAGATCATAGAGCGTAGCATCAAGATCATGTGGAAATGCCAATGAAGATCATAGAGCGTAGCATCAAGATCATGTGGAATTGCAATTGAAGATCATAGAGCGTAGCATCAGGTTCATGTGGAAATGCCAATGAAGATCATAGAGCGTAGCATCAAGATCATGTGGAAATGCCAATGAAGATCATAGAGCGTAGCATCAAGATCATGTGGAATTGCAATTGAAGATCATAGAGCGTAGCATCAGGTTCATATGGAAATGCCAATGAAGATCATAGAGCGTAGCATCAAGATCATGTGGAAATGCCAATGAAGATCATAGAGCGTAGCATCAAGATCATGTGGAATTGCACTTGAAGATCATAGAGCGTAGCATCAGGCTCATGCGGAAATGCCGATGAAGATCATAGAGCGTAGCATCAAGATCATGTGGAAATGCCAATGGAGATCATAGAGCGTAGCATCAAGATCATGTGGAAATGCAATTGAAGATCATAGAGCGTAGCATCAAGATCATGTGGAAATGCCAATGAAGATCATAGAGCGTAGCATCAGGTTCATGTGGAAATGCCAATGAAGATCATAGAGCGTAGCATCAAGTTCATGTGGAAATGCCAATGAAGATCATAGAGCGTAGCATCAGGTTCATGTGGAAATGCCAATGACGTTATTATCCCACCCCACCCCAGGCTGCCGGATGTGGATTTGTGCGACGGTAACGAGTCCATTGGCATAAACATGATGGTTAGCTCAATTGCAGCCTGACAATACCTATGATTTCCTATGGTGTTTTCGATGCGTCGTGATTCTGATTCTGATTTTGCCCTGTCTGGATTGGAAAATTCGAGTACAAGCAGTGCGACTGCAAGATCTGAGTCACTCAGCACTATCACGGAGAGCAAAGTGCAGATCGCAGCCCATGGAACTCCCAAAGACTCTTCCAGTGACAAGCAGGCAACAGGGTACCTGCCGTGAACTCAGCATCAAAGATGACCAGCAGAAAACGGGATACCCCTAAATCATCCTAAATCCATTGGTTCATCATCAGTTTCCCCATTGAAATAGCTGTAATGGAAGGTACACCCCCCTTTTCCATCCTTTTCCGACAGGCCCAGTTCAAAGATGCTTCAAGTTTCAAGATGGCTAGCCCTCACAAGTGTTGCTGCAACTTAGGCACAGCGACAGCAGGATCACGGCAAGGGTCGTCCGCTGCTGAATCTCAGCAGCAGCCTGCAATGTAAAAAGTAAGCTGAGTTCGGCCCATCGCCAAGCCTGGCAGGCAACAGGGCTAGGCTTCCGCTACATCGCAAGGCGATCTAAAACACAAAAAATCAACCCCCAAATAGATGGAAAAGTAAAATCCGATTAAAGTGATGAATACGTACGTCGTGGTCAAATGTGGTCAACCTCCCTTGAGGCGTGAGAACTCGGCAAAAACTGACGGAGTGATAAATTGGACCTGTTCTATCTTTTTGGGGATGACTATAGATTTTGTTTATATTAATTCTGCAGAACATCACAACTAAACACAACTGGCCAGGGGGCTGTCCGCCACCAGGATGCCAGCTTCCAACAGTGTCGCAGTAGCCGATGTTTAGGGCAAAAGCCATGAACATTTTCGTGGAATTCATGGCATCTGCTGTGGCTGCATGGAAAGGGAGCTCGTCCTCCACTGTCGTCAATGGCGTCGTCAAAATCTACGTAGTCCACGGCCTTGCTACCAGCCAGCTCCACCTCCTGAAAGCGGACATGCTGTGTGAAACAGGTCTTGGAGTTACCATGAAAACAACGTCCAAACAAAAGGAATGTTTTATTTTTCCTGTATGATATAGATTGTTGTAAACAGCAACAGGTGAGTGTTTTTTCCAAACAACACTCCATGTTTTCTTTTCAAAAAACCTCCGGATCGGATCCTGGACTTGCGGCTGACATCCAGACCAAGACCATGACCAGGAAGGTTCAGCAACTCCCTGGCGTGAACTGTGAACAAGAACATGACAAATTCATAAATTGATCAGATATATTTAAAATCTGAGTGACATTGATGAACCATGATAAACTCATATTTGAACATTTTTAAATTGTCTCGGCTACCTAGGTTTCGTGCATTAACTCACACCAAATCAGCATTAGGAGCTCCCCGGCCTCAATCGTCAACCGAAGATCCAGTCCCCTCCTAGCTCTCTTCAGTTGTTTGACGCACGCATACCTCGTCGTACGAAATGGCAACTTGGCCCTGACCACTCAGCTACTCCAAGTTGAACAAGCGGAATTCATGGTGGGGGATGTGTACTGCCAATGTGACAATGTGGCAATGAATGCAGCGGAGGATCAACGACTGCTTTGCTTCAGGAGGAACTTGGCCACAGCGCTTCAGCTGCAAAACCAACTCTTCCAGCTGTAGCTTTGTGAGCGGCTCCCATGAGCCCAGCTCCACCAAGGACCTGAGAAATCTCTTCAACTCTATGTAAACATAATACAGATACCATGTACAAGTAATAAAAATCGCAATACACATGATACCCAAAATCACATCCCCATCCACAAAAACTCAGCTGCCAACGGAAGGTTGGAAAACCACAGCTGCAAAGATTTCAGCGACAGTGCGAGGCACTGCTCTGTGTCGAGCATCTGTGCCAAGCCGGACGCATCTGCCAACCTGGAGCCCGTGAAGCGCAGGGTGAGCTGCTCCAGTGGAGGCATCTCCTGCGAATTCGACGGAATGACAAACGCACACCAATCATAGTTGTGTGTATTATATCCATTCTCAATCCATGAAATCCATAGCATAGCCCTATTTTTGTTGGTCAAATCCGTTCAAATCCCCGACTTATCTCATCCCCGCCGTGAAAATCCTTCAGACCCCGCCACCCGCGCCTTCTGGAAGTTCCATGATTGGACCCCGGTAAAGGCCAGATCCAAGCGGAGCAGACGCAGTTTCCTGCAGTTTTGCCCTTTGAAAAGCTGGTTAACTGGTTGAAGGGAAAATTTTAACCGGAAAACATGGTTTCGCATCAAAACATATAGGGGCCCCTGTGTCTTAAAAAATGAATGACTGGTAAATTTGGTATGGCAACAATGGCAGAATCTTTCGAAGAATGTTCTCTTCCATGATCAGACTTTCAACTTTCCTTGTGCGACATGCTGGAACCCCAGCCCGAAAAGCCTCGGCAAGTGATTCAGCAGCTGCTGCAGCGAGTCATCCCCAAAGCCACGGCAGCCTGTGAAGGACAACTCCACCATATGCCGTGAGCTGTCGGCCGCCAGGGCTCTCCGAAGGTTGCTGGTGTCCTGCCCCTGCGTAACGGCACCAAACCAGGAAGCGATGGCAAAATGCGCTGCCAGGGCCTTGTTCCTCAGCCCATCTTGGGAGCAACATGACGAAACTCACTTCCCAAGAGATCAAAGAACTCAACAGAAACAACTTCCCAAAAGATCAAGGAAACACATCCCAAAGAAACACGCTGCGCCACCTCAAGTCGATCGAGGCCCAGCGTCACAGCCGAATAATTTGGATCTTGAAGGGGCGCGACGTCAGTCAATTCCTCAGGTCCACGAAAGGTGTCAGGTCTACGTCCATCTACATCCAGGTCAACCCATTTCAACCCATGTGCCATTGATATCAACCATGAATCATGTGCACATTCGATCAGTGATCCTGACAACTCAACGTTTTACCTCGCATTTCAAATCTGACCATCTTACTTTCCGCTTATACTTATATATACTCTGCATATGCACCAAGACCTCCAAACAATGACAAAAACAGAGAAAAAGCTGCACACTTGAAATATGTTTCGGCATGCGCGACTTTGAATTTCACATGGAGAATCAATGCTGTAAGTTCTCATGTGTGGGCATGCAAGCCATGCACCGGACCTGGCCTTCGTCCTTGCTTGCGGCAGTCTGATGCAATTGAGGATACGGATCTTGTCCTCTGCTTTGCTGGCGTCAGCCTTTGAGATGTCGACGCTGAGACCCTGGTCACGGCACACATCGGCACTCTGCTGCGCTGGGGTACAGCATGACCCGTCTGCTTTCTTCACTGATGAGCGATTCCGAGGGTCAAAATCCGTGCTACCCATTTGCCAACGTTTCCAAAACAGAAAAAAAATCACATGAAGGATCAGTGAAAAAAACCTGGAAGAGATCCCTCTTGGGTTCGACACAGCTTGAAGTCCGCCTTCTGCGCGAGCAACGTGGGAAAGTTCGCTTCGCGCAAGGCCTTCGCCAAAAAGCCCAGCAGCGGCATCAAACGCGCCTCTGGGGCTGCCAGACCATCAGTGATCACGTGCGCCTCAGCATGCCATGTTTTTCAGGTTTCTCGCAAGTGATTCCGTGGAAAACAACCATCTCATGGCCACCTCATTGCACTGTTTCAACTCATCTGCTCAGTCGTTTCACAGCCGTCATGGCCTCATTGGAGGAGTCAGTCGCGGCCACATCCAGCAGCAGTGGCGTCCCGGTGTTCCGCTCTTCAACCTGGACTTAGCCGGCTCGAAAAACATCACCGGCTGATAGGCACAGCCTCTGATTTGAGTGATATCTGCCATATTTCAGAACCACCACCTATGCACTTCCTTAAAAAAAGGGTGTGTTCTTAAAACACGGTTTGTTCTTTCATATTCTAAGCCTACTAGTATTTATCATATTTGTATATTCATCAAAAAACAAGGTTCGTTCTTTCATGTTTTAAGCCTACTAGTATTTATCATATTTGTATATTCATCAAAAAACAAGGTTCGTTCTTTCATGTTTTAAGCCTACTAGTATTTATCATATTTGTATGTTATGTATTATATTTGTTTATAACCTTCTCTGTGGGGAAATGGCTTGAAGAATTTCTGCTGAACATTGGCTGGGCCACAGCAATGCTTTCTTCCAAACAGCACCAGATCCTGGTGAAGGGAGTGGTTGTTGTTGTTGTAAGCGGACGTCAACCTGCTCCTCACCGAAGTGAAGTAGTTAAGACGCCATAGTATGCCATCTGCGAGAATCAAGTTCCCATACTTCTCCAAGCAAAACTCAAAGGAAGCGAAACCTGCCTGAAATAAAAAAGAAGTAAACACAGTGCGCCAGCTAGCATTCCGCATGGAATGTTTGTTGATCAAGTACGACTTGCCAAAAAGGTAAAGTCCGTAGCCTCTGCAGACACCAAACTGCTGCAGCCCAAGCCACGGCTCGCTGATGTCGCTGCACAGCCGCAGCGATCATGGAGCGTGAGTCACGCAACACCTCACCTGCCTGAGCATCGGCTGTCGCATTGAGAACGCGGCAGAGATGAACATCAATCCAACCATCTGGTGGTGTCCAGTCAGGCACCTTGTTGTGAGAAGGGATCCAAGTGCAAACAGTGCCCTGAATCAATAAGCCGCTGATCCGCTGCCAGAAAAGCGGCAAGTCACCCTCCCAACGGCCAGTGCTAATGCCTCGCCGAAGCCGCCGCACCAAAGCCTGATTGTCAATCAAGAGCATCACCGGTCTGTTAGCTGCAGAAGAGGCTAAACGAGCTTGCAGAAGAGCAGCACGCTCACCTGCAGCAGGTGTTTGCTCAAAACCAGTCACGGCACCTTGAACAGTGGTGCCTGAAAGTGTCGAAACCGCCCAGCTAGCTCTTTGCCATCGATCACAGGAAGTAGCTATGATACAACTGCCGTCCAAACCCAAGGTGGGTCGCTGAAGAGGATCGAATTGCTGAATAAAAGTAACCAAAGCAGGATCTGCAACCATGTTGGAAAAAGGCAACACAGGAGGAGCATCCACAAGTGGAACCAGCAAACGACGTTCAGTAGCGCTCCTGAACTCACCATCCCATGGCTGCGCTTGGCAGTGAAAAGTGAGATGTTCTCGATCAGGAGACCGCAATCCACATTCACAACTCAAAGCAGAACCAAAGCGCTCTGTGACCCTGCCATCCCCTGCAGCACCAGTCAAAACCCTGCGACTGTAGTAATCCATGCCTAAAGCTGCATTTGCCTGAAAAAGGAAAACCGGCTCCTTGCCGTTTGGCCATCGACCATCCGTTTTGGTGTCTTTAGTCCACAACCCAACGAGCCATGAATGGATAGCGGCCTTTTGCAAGCTTTTCAAAGACATCCACCCAGGTTTCAAAATCCCAGCAGGCGTGTGCCACAGGCCATCGTCAAGTCGCCATTTCCAATCTTTGAGCACTGCTTTCCAGCGAGGAGCAGGCGAGGTAGCTGCAGGCAACCCTTGGGCACGGCGGCATTGCCGATTCCATTCCGCCCGGGCGGCGGTGAACTGGAGCGCAAACATCGGATGTAGTCTTGCAGAACCCAAAGAATTCCAAAAGAGCAGCCGGCTCCTACCTGGAGGAGCCCTTCGACCCCAAAGTGCAGTTTCGATCATAGATGTCCATGTTCGAATGGTTCTTGCACTGAAGTGATGAAAAGCACCGGACCAAGCAAATAAAGATATCACCAACTTATGCACCAATGCAATGCGAGTGCCTAAGTGCTGTGCTGCCAAACGAATTTTGAGACACCGTCGCTGAATGTTGTCACTGACAATATCCGCATCAACACAAGAACTGGGGCGTGACAAATTGTATTGAATGCCAAGCAGTGTGAAAGTATCCGCAGGTACACCTACTAAATCTTTCTTCTTGCGCACCTTGGCAACCAGATGCGGTTTGGTGGCGAAGCTAGCCAATTTGTCAGGGTGAAGTTCGAAGCCGAGAATAGCATCGGCTTGCGCTCCCGCAGTCATGGCGTTGATGACCACTTCAAAACTTTGACAACCTTGTTTCCACATGGTGCGATCGTCCAAATAAATAGCCAAAGAAATCCTTGGTTCCTGCCGTTTGACAAACCTCACCCAAACTGTCATCAAAGCGTTCAGTAGCGCAGGGCTGGCTGGACAGCCTTGCAACAAACCCCGTTGAGCAATAACCGGATGAGGGTGATAAGAACCTTGCCAAGCAAACCAACGACGCTGTTCACTGTAAAAATCAGCGAGTAAATCACAAATTGATGAGGGAGCACCGAACCATCGCCACACTTTAATGGCTGTCTGAGGGCAAACTGAATCAAAACACTTGCGAACATCAGCTTTGCACCCGACCAAATCGACACGAGACTGCTTTGCCGTGCTGACAGCTTCGTAGAAACGTTCATGGACTTCCATGATGCCCTTGCCTGGTAGACCACCAAAAAGTTCGGGCGAAGCCCATTCAGCAATCCAATGCTGTAATTTTTTCAGAGTGGCACTCATGCAAATACGCCACAGGACAGTGACAATGGCTAAAGGGCACATGCCACCAGTAGCTTTTGGTAACAAAGCAATTCTAACATCTTTCCACATCGCAGGAACACAGCCATGTCGCAAGCAAGCATCCCAAAGAGCACCGACCTGATCCCAAAAAGCAATGGGAAGATTGCACAAATGGAGAGCTGTCCAGGCATCCATGCCCGGAGCCTTGTCCTTCGCTTTGAGCGCAATCCGAACCAATTCAGAACCACTAACCTGAATACAGTCATCCGGCAATGGATCGCTTGCAGAGCCAATCTGAGAGTACAACTGGTCCCCCAGATTCAAATTCGGAAGCGACCCTGGATTCCAATACCTCTCCCAATCCAATGCTGCGCACTTGGCCCTATCTGCAGGTAGAATGGGGCCATCAAAACTTGCAGTAGGACTGGCGGGCGGCACCTGTTTGACCCACCTGCCTAGTTTGGTGGCATTTTCCTGCACGCTGTCCTTCCACGCCTCCAAGCGTAACTTGGACGCTGCTGTAGCTTCTGCATTTGCCAATTCTAGCACTGCACTAACCAACCTGGGGTCATCCAAAGAGAAAAAAGCCAAAGAATGATGTAAATGAGGGCCATCACGAACCAACTTCTTCTCCAACTCTGGCAACGGGGCCTTTTGGTACTCCACCACTCTTCGTGCGAAGCGTCTGAGCTTGCGCTCTTTCACTGTTTGCAAAGAAGGCGCTTTTGAAGACGGAGGACTGGCAATTTGCTGCGGGCCCTGGCGCATAGCACGACCAGTTTTGCCACGTGCGAGAAGAAGAGATTCTGCGCAGTTGCTAAGTAAGGTCCAAGCAGAGTCCACGTTGCCTGTACTCAATGCATTTCCAAAATCGTCACATACTTCTTCCCAAGCACTTAGCCAAGAAGCTTCAGCAACCTTTTCAGAATGCAAAGGGGCACCAACTGGGAGAGTCCACGGTGTGGATAATGAACCAGGCACATGCAAGTTGTAAACCACCGCGTCATGGTCAGCCACGCCAAGATGTTGCTCCCTACCAGTAATAATTAACCGAGGAGTGCACAAGCCATAGTCAATGACCACACCTGTATAAACACCTGCAGCAGTTCGATGTGTACCACCTAAAACACGATCTCCGCAAACCAGCTCATCACAGGACCGCCACTGTCCAGTAGCCAAAACGTTAGAAATTGGCCAACAATGAATTTCCAAATTGAAGTCACCCATGATCACTGTATCTTCACCACAAGCAGCAACAAACTCGAACAGCGCACCCAGCGCACGGCTGGCAGCTGTGCGATCTGAAGCATGTAAGTAAACATTGATGAGAATCAACGGCCTTTGCTGAGGTCTATAGAGTTTGACGGCCATGGATCTTTCCACAGACACCATGTCGACAGGAAGGGCCAAGGCCTCAGCAGGCCACTTTGTTAGAACCAATGTACCACCTTCCACTACATTTTTCGAATTTCTTCCTTGAGGGCCAGGAAAAAGTTGCCACCCGCGTGCCTTGACGGCACGAGTCACAGCATTCCAGCTGTGATTGTTAACTCTAGTTTCTTGAAGACACAGAACATGTAAATTCTGGAGCTGAGCAAAGTCAAGCACACCACCCAAGCGGCCTCCCAAGGACCGTACATTCATAGTCCCCAACCGCATAGTGCTGTCAGAGCCCGTCATGGGTTCTGATCCACAGCGCCATCCTGCTGCAATCCCAAAATGTCCAAAGCTCGCGAAGCAGCTCGCTGTCTGGCACTTGGAGCCTGAGCCGCAAGAGGCACCAAAATATCCCTCTGGCCCTTTCGAAACTTAGTCCAAACCATTTTACGAGGACACTGACTTCCTGTAAGCCGTCTGATGTTGTTGACACAACGCTTGCAATGCACACAAGCAAAACGCACCGTAAAATTGGCAGGCCACACAATGGCCTCAATCTGATGCGTGCTGTCTGCTGCAGTATCAGTGGTGCGAAATGCTCCAGAGTCGATGATTTCCAAAACTGTGCGGGCACCCTTCTTGAGGTCATCGCTGATGTCTGCATTTTTGAGGCACGCACGCAATCTTTCCACCAACTGCTTTCGTTTGGGCCCTTTGCTGGAAGCATACTGTTCACAAGCAATCTTTGCCAAACGCTTCGCTGTCAAAGCCATACTGCCACAAGTTTTGCAAATGACGTAAGACATTCCAACTCTTTTCTGTTTGCCATTTCCTGTGGCTGGAATGGTAACGAAAGTGGGGTCATGTGCTCCAGCATCGCCACGCTTGAAGCCAAGCAACCTTCGAGCCACTGCAGCTGCACGCACCTGGCGCGTGGCTTTGCTAGCATTCTCCCGTCTGAAGCTGCTGTCCTTGTGGAAGAGCTTGGCATCCGCCTGAGGATGTTTGTCTTCCCTATGCTTGCGGATGACGCTGTACACTTGGCCAGGTTTGAGGTTGTGATCAGCGGACAAGCCAAGTTTGCAAACAGGACACTTCCAGCTATAGACTCCTCCCTTCTTGACCGCAGACAGCGCAGGCAACGTGTTTTTGAAGCCGATTTTCAACTGTTCCTTCTCATCGGGATGCCAAGCATTGATATGAGCTCTCTTCTTGTCAACCCATCCTTCGCACACCCCAGTGGAAAAGTCACACAAAGGGCATGTCCACTCAGTACGCTTAGTGCGTCTGGACGAAGCACTGGCTGCGTCTTGTCCTTCACTGGCTGCACGTGGCGTGCACGGACCCCGACCCGAAGTAGCAGCCGCAGGGGAAGAAGAATTCTTGCGCTGCTCTGACAAAGTAGAGGCGGGCGCGGGGCTAGCACACCTTCCACGTTTATTGTTGCTATGAACCAGTGACGGCAAAGCTGACAATCTGGTGGCACCAACTGAAGTAGCGCCACATTCCGATCCTCCACCTCTGTTGCCCTGCATTGGACCATTTGCGGCCTGAGTCAAAACTTCAGGAGGGAAAGCACCTTCAAGTCGTTCATAGTGCTTTGAACGAAACCACAAAGCGATGGGAGCACCACCCTTGCCACGACCATTGTAAATCTCCGGAACCCCACGAGGCTGGAAGACAATGATCGGGCGATCGTAGTGCACAGCCGCAGCAGAAACTTCAAGAGCACTGCCCCAAGCACCAATCTTTGAGAGCATGGTGAGATAGCTCTCCCATGATTCGCAAGCATTCTCCGCCTCTGTTGGCTCCTTGCCGTCCCACCAGGGCTTGTAACGACCCTGGTGCTTGGTCAGGTGGGTGACAACGCTTGCACGCACATTCCTGGCTGTTTTTCCGCCCAAACTTTGAGCAAGGGCTTCAAAAAGACAGTTGCCGTCAGCAGGGATGCTTTTCACCTTCATATTGTGAGGGGGCTTGGGTTCCCCCGCAACACGCTTGGCCGGAGGACTCTTTTCAGGAGTACTGACAGTTCTTTTTGCCCCAGCGGGTTCTCCAGCATTGTCCATCTTTGCGTCCGACTTGTCCTCGTCCAAATTCTCAGCAGGAACCTTCTCAGCCCCTGCAATAGTCACTGGCTTTTTGACTGGCGTTCCCATGTAGAAAGATTTGCGAGGAGCAGGCGTGGCAATCGCCTGCCATGCATGGCTCTGGTTATAACTGACCCTTCCATTGCTAGCCAGTTTCATGGTATGTGTTCTCTGCCGTCTTTGTCTTGGAGCTTCAACAGCTACAATGACTTTTTCGCCAGCCTGAATTTCAATGAAATCCATATCCTTTTGAGCATTGGCCTGCACCCACCATTCCACTTGTTTGCCCACAGTTTTCCGGGACAACACCTTGAGTTCAGTCAGGCCAGCACATGTAAGTTCCTGAGTCAAGGTACTAGCCGCCCAATCTCGCGGAACACCAGTGACGCGCCAAGCTCTGGCCTTAGGAGGGGGCTCGGCGCTCCTGGGCTTACGTACTCCCAGTCCATTCCATCCCCGGGCAATGCCCAGGTCACCAGCCATGGACTGAACCTTCTGCAAGTAGCTGGGCCCATCAAGTTCCGAACTTTTCTTGACCCACTCAACATCGCAAGATTCAATCACGGAGTTGTTCCATTGCAAAGGCTCCACAAACCAGGTACTTTTGCCTGAGCAGCCTAGAAGAGCTTTGGCAGCACTTCGCTCAATGCGTAAAAGGCCAGTGATCACTGGCTTGCCTCCGCCTTTCATGCTTTCTTGCTGAAACGCCCACATATCAAAGACTTTGTCCGCAACATGCTCTGGAACATGCCGATGCAACCAAGCCTGCGCGTTTGCCTTTGGCTTGGCCTGGATGCTCTGCCACTCGTTGTTTTGCAAATATTTTGCATCAACACTTAATCTCACTACAACAGTTTCAGGCTGCACTGCAGGAGCCGCTGACACAACGGCAGCTCTCTTGAGTGATGGCCCTTGGCCTTGAAGTGGGATCACAAACGCCTGCCTGGGCTGCACCTTGCCCGAGATCTTTCCTGGCACCATCCGCAAAGGTCGATCCTCCTCAGTCTGCTTGGCCTCTTTCGGCGCTAGCATCACAGCTGTGATGTTGAGCTCTCTTTTGATATCAGGGGAATCGCCTTTCAGCAAAACCTGCAACTCCTCAAGTTGCTCTTCCGAGTTCACTTGCGCTGTAGCTGAAATATTTCCAGGCTTATCCAGTGCGACACAAAAGTCATCAAAGCCCAAAATGGGCCCCGTCCAGTCTGACTGACGCAGGCTCCACACCGGCTTAAACGCAGTGTTGGCTCGAACCACTTCAGCAAAGGTCTTGGGCGTTTTGTGGGGCTGCTGCTCTGTGTGTGGCTGTTTTTGGACGTCCGCCTTTTGCTTAGGATGTGGTTTCGAAGTATTCTGCGGAGGCTGAGTAGGAGGAGAAGAAGGGTAAAAACCACCCCCTTGGCCGTAATCCCCCAGACCACCATCACCGCCCTGTTTATTTTTGTTCTTGTTCTTAGTCTTCTTGGGTTTGGCACACCCGCCATGGCCCATCATAGCACTGAGCTGTTGAAGCAAATTCCCACCGCCACCCCCGAGTCCCAACAATTGGAAAAGCTGAGAGAGTAGTTTGAGAATCTCACCTGCTTGTTGCAAATTGAAGCCATTTGCTTGGTTATTGCTTTGTTTCTGTTTCCTTTTGCGAGCTGTTGCTCTGCTTCCTGCACCATTGCCATGCATGGCATGCATCAATGCGTTCCGCTCTTTTGAAGACACAGCCCAAATCTTCTGAAGCAAATCGAAACTTGCAAGCACCACATCTGAACAATTCGTTTCTAAGCACTGCCAAGGCCCATCAGCAATGCATAGACCCGCAGCCACCGCGCGGAGGTTGTCCAGATAGCTGCTGAAGGGAGTGGCATCCTGGTCCAAGATCAGCACGACCCCAACGGCCAGTTTCATGGCCTTGTAGAAGGACGTCCCACGTGGGTTCGCCGAGATCTCGTCCTGGCGAGCACTTCTTGGATTTTTTGCTTCAGGCAGGAAACCCCCAGAAGAAAAGTAGATTGGATTCAATAGATGGGTGGATTTACCAATGGGAAAGTCACAAAAAACGTCATCGAAACCATGAATTGGGGATCCAAACTTTAAATCGCCAAAGCCATGAGATGTCATGAGCACAGCACTCCTGCAGCTTGTGTTGATTATTTGCGTACGCACAGACCCAGTATGCTAGTCCCGCGGCATTCCGCAGTTCCGCGTGCTGGCGCAGGCAAGCAACAAAGCGACACACGGCTTCTTGCCACGCATGACTTACAAACCAACACGGGAACTGCGTTTCTGCGTCTTTGGCAACGAGCTCCACGAAGCTGCACCTGTACCGCAGGGTGGCTGGCTTTATAACCCAATGGGATGCGTGGTAGAGGTTGAAGGTTTGCAGCTCCAACGGCTGTTCAAAGTTTGGGCTGCCAGAGTACCTGGGGTTTGAAGGGTTTGACAAAGCTGCCGTCAACAACGGAGCGAAAGCTGAACTTGAAACAAAGAAAACTACATGAAGTTGGCAGCTGTGGATATTCCTGAAAGCAACAACTAGGACCAGCTAGAACCAACCCCACTTATGTCAAGGAACGTCTCCACACAGAGGTGCGCATGGTCACGGATGAAATCCACCAGCTGCGACAGCTGCTTCAAGTTGATCCCACGGCATTCCGTTTGTGGGACGTTGATGGCACTGCTGCCCAAGGTATCATAGCTCACCAAGGTATACCTCAGTTTCCCATGTCCCAACCTGGAGGAGTAGCGTAGCTGTCGAAGACACGACACGTCACCAGTCCAGCAGTGCAGTAAACGTCTTCGAAACCAAGCAACGCAGCAGCTTCCAGGGCAGTGCCTGGTTTTAGATATTGGACACCCGGGAAAGCACGGCATTCTCCCAGCCACCTGAGTTTCGGACATCCCCAATTGAGCATTCAGAAAAGCCTGTTTGGGAAACTGTCACGAGCTGGTTTGTAACATCCAAGAATCAATGGCATGCGCCCCTTCATGATTGATTCAAACCCCCCATAACGTTTGACATGGCTCACCTGGCTGCGTCTTTTGCACAGCGCAAATGGCATCTTCCACCGTCGCGGGCAGTGGGCATGGGATCACGCCCGATGCGCCGGCGCCACCGGGGACGGTTACGGCAGCTGTGGCCATTGCAAAAATTCCAAGGAAATCCAGCAATTGAAAAACTAAGCAGCTGAACACCTTGAATTAAATCAAAACGCTGCAGTCAGAGGGATATCAGAGGGATTGAGAACACTCTCGCAGCCGTGGCATGTGCAGATGCGAATCTGGATGAATCTGCTGGATTTGCGCAGCTGTCTAAGCGACTCAGGATGGAACTGAAGGATGAACCGCACATGTCCACCTTGCTGATGGTCTCGGCGAAACAGAACACGGATGAAGCTTAAAATCGAAGGACTGCTTTGCGGTTCCAAAAAGCTTGGTGCGCTTGCAGGTTGAACTCTATCAAACCAAAAAATGAGCTTTGCATAGTTTTGTCATGTCTTGTCTGCATAAGGGCTACCTTCTGTAAGAAAAATCCACCTTTAGCCCTTACAGAAGATAGCAGAAGGTCACCTTTTTCTTATACAACGTGGTATCAGACCAACCTGGCGGGAAACCGGCAAAGTGTATCAAGGTGTGGCAAGATGAAAACGACCAAGGTGTTTCCCCACAAGATTGGTGAAAACATTGCAAATTGCCAATCTCTTGCGAATCTTTTGCGGTGTGAAGAAATTTGTCAACATAGATCACAACGCACGCATGTGTTGATTTATGTTGATTTATTCTGATCTACTCAGAGGGATGAGTGGGAAACTGAATGGATGCCGACTGGGAAACAAATCACTTCACAAAATGAAGACCCAGCCGGTTGCTGTCAGTTTTGCGGTGGTTTGTCGACCACCTGCAGGCATGAAAAATGCGTTTCGAACAAGTTGGTCAGCAGAATGCGACGCTACTTGGCAATAGATGGGATCCCCATTGGCAATCGCGCTACTGGTACAAGATCTTGTCCACAGTGCCAGCACAATCCTGCCCACACACACCCCAGGGCCCCAGGAATCCAGATCTCCCGCCTGTCAGGTCTCGTTGGCGACAACATGGCTTTCCGATATAGCTTGTGCAGCTGAATGCAATACTGTGGCGTGATCATGGCATGAGGTGTGTATCTTTGTCAAGTTAGATTCGTGATGCAATCAACACTCACAGCTGGCAAGACTCTGAGTCTCTGCAGTTGAAAACAATGCCAACCTTGGCAATTGTCATTGCTTGCATCAGAATGTCTGTGTGGATGGCTCTGAGGGTTTCTTGGTGCTTTGTGTGACCTTATGAATCAATATTTTTCAATCCAAACAGATCGACAACTTCAACGACCTTTGAATTGCTCCAACACTCAGCGCTGAGACTCAAACTCAGTCAACTACGCAGTACCACTTGTGTCTGCTGAGGTACAACCTATGTTGTGAAGAACATGTTCCTTGATCTTTTTTGGATGTCGGCCATAGACTTTTTACAATGTTGTGGGATGTTGTGGGTTTTACTTTGGTTGGACGGTTTCAAAAGCGATTGGAATGGATCTCTGAAACCATTGGGGTGTGTCAAAGACACGCTGCAAAATAGTCGCAGGAAGCAACAAGGTGGTACAATCTATGAGTCCGGTGAGCACAATACTCTCATCGAGGAAAGGCAACAAAAACCGAAACCGAGAAATATGATTGGTTTCAATTGAGTCCAACCAAACCCTTCACCCCGCACCCTACAGTACCAGGCGAGTTTTGAAGCGCACTGCACTGCATCACAAATCACCAAACAAATCACTCCAATCCGGGAGTCTCAGGGTCCTTGCCGTGAAACCTCTGAAAAGTGAGAGTGAAACCTGCTATCCAAGCGCGAACCACATCGTCGCTTCATCTCAAAAACTGCTTGGAGATCTGGATGAGTGAAGCAGTGAGGCAGTGTGCATGCCAAATGCTTGTGAACCACGATCAGAGCCCAAGCGACTGAATAAAAAGTTCCAGGAGGTTTTCCTCCGATGCCAGGCGGCGGAGAAACCATCAGTTTCCCTTTCACTTCCTGCATGACCTGGTGGCAAGACTGGGATGACCACTTCCAACACTTCCAACAGCTTGGGACCCATATGGATAAGACCAAAGAGTTCCAGACCCCAGAAAGCAGGGAATGATCTGTTGACTTTTGAGTTCAGTCTGTCCGCTTGGCTTCTTAATTTTCTGGCCCTTCGCCAACTTCAGGTCTCCACCCGTGGTGTTTGGAAGACTGTAAAAGTATATCGCAGTTGATCGCATTTGAAACAAGTGCAACCTGCGAAACATGTCAAACAAGATGAAGCCCACGAACCCGAATGCTCACACGTATGTCGAAGATAACGATGTTAAAGTATCGATAATGATATGAGAAGCAAATGTCAATGCTCAAACCTATTGCTCTGCAACAACATCCCTGTCAAACTTCATGCCTGAATCAGCAACACTCCCGTGCATGCGACATTTGCTTGAATATCTGTCACGAACATTCGAAAATCACCGTGGAGTGGAAGGCGTGGAGTGTGAAGTGCGGAGTGTAAAGTCAGGAGCGTGAAATGGAAAGTGTGGAGTGTAAAGTGTGGAGTGTGCAGTGAAGAGTGCAAAGTGTGGAGTGTGGAGTGTAAAGTGTGGAGTGTGGAGTGAGGAGTGTAAAGTGTAAAGTGTGGAGAGTAAAGTGTGAGTGTGGAGTGTAAAGTCTCAGATAAGGTGTGAGGAGTGTAAAGTGCAAAGTGTAAAGCGTGGAGTGTAAAGTGTACAGTGTGGAGTCTAAAGTGTAAATTGTGGAGTGCGGAGTGTAAAGTGTAGAGCGTGGAGTGCGGAGCTTCCCCCATGGACACGGCGACGCCACAGGAAAACGAGAGACTCGCGACATGACACGTGGATGCAGAAAAACCAGCATTTCCTACGAGACTTCCTCCAATTTTGACATTTTGTGAACATCATCAAACAGGTTGGAATGTCAGAAAATGTCACGTCTGCCACCCAAAACCACATGACAACCTCCTCGGAAACATTCGAAAAGGTCAGGTTTTCCAACTTCCCCCATAGACACGGCGACGCCACAGGAAAACCAGCGACTCGAGACAAGACACATGGATGCAGAAAAACTAGCATTTCCTACGAGACTTCCTCTTTCCTACGAGACTTCCTCCAATTTTCACAGTTGGCAACATGACAAAAGGAGAAGTTTTGCAGCTTCCACCATAGACACGGCGAGGCCACCGGAAAACCAGAGACGCGAGACATGACACGTGGGAGCGCCAAAACGAGCATTTCGTGCGAGACTTCCTCCAATTTTGACACTTTGCAGCTTCAAAATCGACGTTTTCCTACGAGTTTTCCTTAGAACGTGAAAATTGGCAACCTCAAAATCGATGTTTCGTGCGAGGCTTCCGTCAATTTTCAACGCATCGCACAAAATGCCACGCCTGCCACGGAATTTGCACCTTGTCGCCACTTGACGCAGCCCTGCCAATGCGATTTGCAAAAACACGCAACATGACACGTCTAAAGTGCTGCGCCTGCCACGAAAAATGACGATGGACACGTCCAAAGTGCTGCGCCTGCCACGAAAACTGCAACACATCTTCTGAAAACGTCGCAAAAGTATTGCGCCTGCCACGCAAAACGACTTTCGACACGTTCCAGAACACGTCTGAATATCACGAAGTGCCACGCCTGCCACGCGAAACGAAGCAACGATACGTCTGAAACCTCCAAAAATTACCACCTCTGCAGAACTTCCCATAGGCACGGCCATACGGGGATCGCGCGGACGGTTGCGGACGGTTGCGGACGGTTGCGAACGGTTGCGGACGCGGACGCAACGTCGAGCGAACACACTCCAACCCCCAGACCCCCAGAGTGAAACGGGAACCCTTGCTACGCATTCGGGAAAAATCATTGGTTTGGGTGGTCCATATTATATTATGTATATATTTTGTAATAAATGGAACAAAACAAAGAGAACCGTAAAAAACGTAAAACAAAATGTGTGAAAAGTATTAGATGTATAAAAAGAGGAAAGAACGCAATATAATCTGAAACAAAGCAAGGAGAGAAGCAAACATGAGTGGGTGAAATAATCATTACTTTTATTGCTGATAAATTGAACCTTTCACATCTTCTTGGGGATGACTATAGATTATGTGAGTCATTCTGCAGAACGGCACAACTAAACACAACTGGCCGAGGGGCAATCCGCCAACAGGATGCGAGATTCCAAACATGGAATCTTTGAACAATCATACTTCTGTTCATTCTATTCTGAGTTTCAACTACTTGAATATGCATCAAGTATTGTGCGCATGTGCCTGTGCAACTTCTCGGTTGGAATGTAAGGAAGCATATCAACCATGTGCACAGTTTGCTTCCGTGAAAAAGCGGAGCCTTTGGTATGTCAGACCTAAAATCCATATGGAATCGCATGGTGTGCGCCATGGTTGCTGGAGGGATTGTTTTTCAAATTCTATACTCATGTGCACTTTGTGAAATCTTACATGCACAATCTGACATTGAGCTACTCAAGTAAGTCGGGACTTCCAGTACCAAGTGCTAGCTGGGAGTGAGTATCGCCTCAACCTGGCATGCCTAGACCTCAAATATGTTGAGGATCATGTGCGTTGCAACGTGGGGTGACGAAGATTTCATCGGGCGCATAGCAAGATGTGCCCGCAAGGTACATCCACTTCAAAGGGCACGCAACACCAAGCGTTGCCTAACCACAGGGATCAAAGGAATGGCTGAAGGTCATCCCCCCTCGGCTCTGAGAGCCCCAACGGCGAGAAACAATGTGTGCGTGTCCTTGATCAAGGCTGGCTGACCGAGGTGGATAGGTTTTGATGTAAAATACGTGAAGTTCTTTTCTGCGCTTGCTGTGGCGCTTCCAAAACTGTGGTTGCAAAAGGGCCAGATGCACTTCAAGCGCTCAGTCCCTAAACATGTTGGCAAAAGCTTACGCCCCGCAAATCATTCAGCAGCGGAAACGAGGAAGAATTAATGCAAACGCTCGAAGAATTCCAAGGGCTGTCGTGCAGCCAGAGTCTGTGGAGTTTACCAAGGCCTTGGAATGCCCCCGCAGGAATTGTCGTCAACTGATTGCGGCCCAGATCGAGTTCCTTGAGTTGATCAAGGCCTTGGAATGCCCCCACAGGAATTGTCGTCAACTTGTTGCTATTCAGATAGAGTTCCTGCAGTTGACCAAGGCCTTGGAATGTCCCCGTAGGAATTGTGGTCAACTTGTTCCTGCCCAGATCGAGTTTCTGCAGTTGACCAAGTCCTTGGAATGCCCCCGCAGGAATTGTCGTCAACTTGTTGTTGTAGAGATCAAGTTCCTGCAGTTGGCCAAGTCCTTGGAAAGTCTCTGTAGGAATTGTCATCAACTGGTTGTGCCTCAGATTGAGTTCCTTGAGTTGATCAAGGCCTTGGAATGCCCCCGCAGGAATTGTGGCCACCTGGCTGCTACGTAGATAGAGTTTCTGGAGTTTACCAAGGTCTTGGAATGTCCCCGCGGGAATTGTGGTCAACCTGTTAATGCCCAGATTGAGTTCCTGCAGTTGACCAAGGCCTTGGAATGCCCCCACAGGAATTGTCGTCAACTGATTGCGGCCCAGATCGAGTTCCTTGAGTTGATCAAGGCCTTGGAATGCCCCCACAGGAATTGTCGTCAACTTGTTGCTATTCAGATAGAGTTTCTGCAGTTGACCAAGGCCTTGGAATGTCCCCGCGGGAATTGTGGTCAACCTGTTAATGCCCAGATCGAGTTCCTTGACTGGATCAAGGCCTTGGAATGCCCCCGCAGGAATTGTCGTCAACTGATTGCGGCCCAGATCGAGTTCCTTGAGTTGATCAAGGCCTTGGAATGCCCCCACAGGAATTGTCGTCAACTTGTTGCTATTCAGATAGAGTTTCTGCAGTTGACCAAGGCCTTGGAATGTCCCCGCGGGAATTGTGGTCAACTTGTTCCTGCCCAGATCGAGTTTCTGCAGTTGACCAAGTCCTTGGAATGCCCCCGCAGGAATTGTCGTCAACTTGTTGTTGTAGAGATCAAGTTCCTGCAGTTGGCCAAGTCCTTGGAAAGTCTCTGTAGGAATTGTCATCAACTGGTTGTGCCTCAGATTGAGTTCCTTGAGTTGATCAAGGCCTTGGAATGCCCCCGCAGGAATTGTGGCCAACTGGCTGCTACGTAGATAGAGTTTCTGGAGTTTACCAAGGTCTTGGAATGTCCCCGCGGGAATTGTGGCCCACTGGTTGCTACCTAGATAGAGTACCTGCAGTTGACCAAGTCCTTGGAATGCCCCCGCAGGAATTGTCGTCAACTGATTGCGGCCCAGATCGAGTTCCTTGAGTTGATCAAGGCCTTGGAATGCCCCCACAGGAATTGTCATCAACTGGTTGTACTTCAGATTGAGTTCCTGCAGTTGACCAAGGCCTTGGAATGCCCCCGCAGGAATTGTCGTCAACTTGTTGTTGTAGAGATCAAGTTCCTGCAGTTGACCAAGGCCTTGGAATGTTCCCGCAGGAATTCTGGTTAACTCGTTGAAGCTCAGATCGAGTTTCTGGAGTTGGCCAAGTCTTTGGAATGGCCCCGCAGGAAGTGTCGTCAACTTGCTGCCATACAGATAGAGTTCCTTGAGTTGATCAAGGCCTTGGAATGTCCCCGCGGGAATTGTGGTCAACCTGTTAATGCCCAGATTGAGTTCCTGCAGTTGACCAAGGCCTTGGAATGCCCCCACAGGAATTGTCATCAACTGGTTGTACTTCAGGTTGAGTTCCTGCAGTTGACCAAGGCCTTGGAATATCTCTGCAGGAATTGTGGTCAACTCGTTGCTGCTCAAATCGAGTTCCTGCAGTTGACCAAGGTCTTGGAATGTCCCCGTAGGAATTGTGGTCAACTCATTGTACCTCAGATTGAGGTGCTGCAGTTGATCAAGTCCTTGGAATGCTCCCGCAGGAAGTGTCGTCAACTGGTTTGATTCCAAACTCAGCCATCGGAGCTTCTTGAGTCCTGCAAACGTAGCTGGGTCAATCTTCTGGAGCAGGTTTTCGCTGAAGTCGATCACCTGCAGCTGTTCGTTGCGTCCGAAGATGGTTCCGAGCTTTTTTATGCGATTGCCCTGCACGATGACCCTGCCCTCCTCGTCCCGTTTGCCGCCCAAGAGAAGCTGCTCCAACAGCGGCAAATGTCGCAGCATCGCAGCCGAGAGCTCGGTGAGCTGGTTGTCGCCTTGGTCGATGCCAATGGGTGACACAGATTGAATGTCAAACTGTTGTGTCAAAGAAAAGACATGTTTTTGTTCAAACTGTTCAGCTGCTGACAGGTGCTGACAGGTGCTGACAGGTGCTGACAGGTGTCTCATCGCCAATAGTTTCAGCTGCTCCAAGCCCCGAAAGGAATCTTCGTGAAGTGTTGCCAACTCAACTCGGGTCAAGTCCAACTGCTCCAATGATGATAGACCTGAAACATCAATGCATAGCTGTTTTGAACATCACACATTGTGTCATTGCATGGCTGCTCGAAGCCTTTGCAGAAATGTTCTTTGACCAACGCCGATCAAAATTTCCTGCCTTCGAAGAGGCCCGGAGGCAGATGGATCAAGCTGTTGTTCGCCAATGACATTCGATGCACATGTCCAAGTGAGCTAAAAGCCTTTGGGTCCACGGCAGTGATGTTCTTCGCAGCCAGGTTCACCTAAAGTCAGCGCATATCCGTAAGCATCCAAAAACAGATGGGTTCGAAAAGATGGTGCCTCAATAGTTGATGGTTTATCATGATTGTCACCATTGAATGGCCATTTTGGGGGTCTACCGTGGGGTCTCGGTCCACCCCATTTTCAGACAGACTCAGAAAAACAAACCGCCGGTGATCCGCCCGGCCTGCTTCTGTCTGAGGACGGCTGCAAGGGTGCAGCTGTCAATCTGTTGGCCAGCTGAGTCAGCATTGTCAGAGCAACGGCACGGAAAACACCTAGGAGACACTTGTAATCCCATTCTACAACCTCTTGTTTGATCTTTTCATTAAGACATCCCATGACAAAAAGATACACAAACGATTCCCTGAGAGCTCAACCTGAAATCCTGTCCATGGGTCATTGGAAAAACGTCCTGCAGAGGCGCTTGAACAAGTGTCGTCAAATCAAAATCACGGCTCGACGTCACGCACGCAAATCTTATGGGGGATCAAATCTTCTCAGTCCTGCATCACAAGGAGAATCACCAGCATCGAAAGGAGCCCAATGGAAAGGGAGCACCCAAATAGTGTTGGAAGAACTCTCCGTTTTTGGCGCTCGCCCCTGACATGCTGTTTGCGTTTGTCAGTTCACAACGAAAATGTCATCTTTGCATGGCAAGATATGGCATGGCAAGCTGTTTAAGTCTTAGTGTCGAGGCCTGGGTCGCACTGGCAAGCTCCAATTGGTGTGCTGCAAAATGTGTGCAATGCAGCATGCGTGCACAAAGTTAAAATAAACGGCGCCATAGCCCAGAAAGTCAGAGGGAAAGGCGAACACAGGGCTGATACGATTGCCTCAGATATCCAAAAAGTTGCGGTGAAGATCCCACTCAAATTAAATGGCGCCGCTATGCAGAAACAAGACGCGTGAGACACTTGAGGCACTCAATATTGCAGCTTT